ACCATTAATGCACTAACCTCTCCTAAAACTCTCCAACCCAGGAAGGAGCAATAATTTTCACTCTGTCTCTTTGCCCTTTTGGAAGAAACACTGCCATGCTTCTTTCCTCCATCTCATCTCTGCCTTCTCCTTTCCCAACTTGGCTGCCTCTTGATCCACATAATATTTCCATACATATATTGCCAACTCCTAACACTCTCTTCTGGTGAAAGCCAGCCAGTCCCTTGAATAACAGTGGGTTTCTCACCTTTCATATCACTACTGTTACACAAAGTAGTATGGTTCTCAGTCTCTGTGGGTTTATACACATGCTTCAGGAGTGGGGGTGGGTCCTTTAATTAGAGTGGCTCTGTGAGCTGCTTTAATTAAAGTGCCCGGAGCTTCACATGTGTCAGCGTCCCTGCACTGAAACATGGCAGTTGGGGTGCTTTAACTAAAGCTCTTCCAACAAGTTTTAGTTAAAGTGCCCCCGCCACAATTTTTCAGCATGGGAATGCTGATACACGTCATATTGGAATCTGCTGGAGTATGATAATTATGTAATTAATTGAGTCTGCTCCAATGTGCTCTAATTACAGTGTGTTGAAGCAGCCTCGCAGTCCTTTGGGTATTAACCCATACAACACCATTTCATACATTAAGTCACAGTTCCTATTGATTGTCCTAAAAAAATGACACAGTCCCTCTCAGGGCAATCTTTCCTTCCATTTCAGCTACTGTGTATAGATTAGAAATCTCTAACACTTTCTTTTCAAACTCCACCACCATCCATTGCAGTCTCCCTTCTACAATCACTTGCACTTGCCACACTTCCACTTTCTTACATTTGAGCAAAATTGCAACTTTAGCTACTTGGTTTGCAGCCAACCCTGCTCATCCACTTTTCAAAATGCTTGTAATCCCTCTCCCATGGGATTCTACACTCCTGCAAAGATATTATGTCTGCCTTTACCCCACTTAATATTGGCATAATCTTATCCCACCTCTTCCTTGATAACACACCTCTGACATTTATAGATGCAATACATAAAGTCATGCTTATCCATTTAAATTGCATATCTCTACCACCTTACAAGTCTTCTATGTTGCCGCTTGATTTCATTGGCTCTAATCCTCCCCCTCTTTGCATCCCTATAGTCTTTGCCAGTTATTTTATTGCTTTAACATTTAAGAAAGATCCCCCTTTCCCCTCTCCTGCACCTTTAAGCTTCTCCCCTCTGCTTTCCCCTCTCCATTTGACCTAGGCCAAATTAGCTCTAATGAGCTTTTTATCAATCTCTCTCTCTCCCCCTCTCTCTTTTTGTCTGCCTTCTTTTTTCTAAACTTCATAGAATGTGATTTCTTTCTTTTCCCAATTGACTCTTCTTCTTTCTCCTGCTGTATCCTTACTCCACCTTATTCTTCCTGTATTGTTCTCTCCTCTTTCCCTTCACTCTCATCTGTCTCAGAGTCACTTGTTCCACTTATCTTTCCTAGTCTTCCCTCTTCTGTTGCCAGCTGCACCACTTTGCCTACTGAATTTCACTCTCTTCCTTCCTGGCTCTTCCTTTTTGTGGTAGCTCCTCCACTGCATACATTCTGAATTAACATCTTCTTCTTATCCTTTCCTGTCTCTGCTGCTCCTCTATATATCTAGCTTTATTTGAGAAGGACCATAGGCATCAGTACTGTAAGAGTCCCTCTTTCTTGCAGATAACATGCTCCAGTATTCCTTGGCACTACACTACCCTGTGCCCTTTCCCTTCATATCTGTAGCGTATAGTATACCAGCAATATGTGGCCAGTAGTGCTGTGCAAAACAGCACCATTCCATTTTGACTTCCGTTTCAACAGGACAGTGCTGTTTTGAGTTTCATTTTGTTTCAAAACCACTGTTCTGTTTCCTTTCGTTGAAACTGTTTCACTGTTTCAACACTGTTTCAACGATTCGGCCATAAGCTATAATGGGGAAGCATGAAACTGCCTATAACTTTCTCCTGATTCAGATAAAACTTGCAGGGATGGTAATCCCTTCTGAGGCCATGAAGATTGCCAAGTTTCAAAGAGATAGATTTAGGGTTTTCTGGGATAGATTTAGGGGTTTCACCTCATGCTGCTGACAAGAAAAACTCATGACATGGGTTGGTGACACTGTGCGTGTGTTAAGGCGTGCCTTCACTGGTGCTGGGGCCTCTACATGACATGGTAGTATGCCTCAAATGAGGCCTCCTTCTCCCTTACAGTCTCAGTCTGGTCCACTACTTTAAATAACAACAGGTAGAAAAAATCACTTAGTGAGCACAAGCACAGTAGCACCAGCAGCATCTCAGGCAGCCAAACTGTGACACAGCCTTTCTTTCATCTCCTGCAGGAGCTTTTTCTCCAGCAGCTGGCAGAGAACTCCCCCTGCCAGCCCCAGCCCTGGGGCTTAGATGTGCCCAGGGCCCTGTGTCCTTCCAGTCAGGTGATAGGGGTGTTTGTCTAAGGATGTGGAACTGGCTGACAAGGTCCTTTCTGTTAGGTCAATTTAATCTGGTATGTTTTAGCAGACCAACAGAAATATATCTCAGCAAGCTTTTGGGTTGAAAAACCCTTTGTCAGGCTGAGGAAGCACATGCAGTTGGTGTGTGTGTGTGCTGTTCCTGGGTGGAGGGAATAGTAAAGAATACAGAGGCTGGCATGCAATGCAGGCAAGAAAGCCAGTCAGTAAAAATGGAAATAGAGGCATCAGGGGGTGAGAGGATTGATTCAAATCACCATGGTTGTCATGGGTGACTTCAACTACATGGACATCTTGTGGGAGGATCACTCATCAAAATCTGTGCAGTCTCAAAGCTTCCTATCATGCATGGATGACCTACGCCTGACTCAAGAGGTAAAGTGCTGCTTGACCTGGTGCTGGCTACTGGGGATGACCTAATTGGTGACCTAGTGATTGATGGGAAGCTGGGTGACAGTGACCATGAGCTGATCACCTTCACCATCTGCCGTAAAGCTGGCAAGTCAGTCAGCAACACGGAAGTCCTTGACTTCAGGAAAGCTGACTTTGACAAGCTCAGGAGGCTTGTCCTTGAGGCCTTAAGGAACCATGACCCCAGGGGGAGGGGAGTTCAAGAGTGGTTGCTCCTCAAGGGAGCTATCCTCAATGCATAAGCTAATTCGATTCCATCTGAGAGGAAAGGCAGCAAGAGGGCACAGCAGCCCCCCTGGCTCTCCAGGGATCTAGCGGACCTTCTGGGGCTAAAAAGAAAGGTCTACAAAGGATGGAAGATGGGATTCACCTCCAAGGAAGATTATTCTGCACTGGTCTGGTCCTGCAGGGAGCAAACCTGGAAAGCCAAGGCTGCAACTGAACTCCAACTAGCTTCGAGCATCAAGGACAATAAAAAGTCCTTTTTCAGATATGTGGGGAGCCAGAGGAAAGGCAAGGGCAACATTGGACGCCCACTGAACCAGATGGGACAACTGACTCCCAGGAAAAAGCCAACCTATTAAATGGGTACTTTGCGTTGGTCTTTCATCAATCCCATGGGGCGCCCATGCCCACCACAGGACAGGGAGGTCTGGGTAAGGGAGATCCCCTGCCCTCCATCAATCCTGGCATCATAAAGGAACACCTTGAGAGGCTGGATACCTTCAAGTCATCTGGCCCTGACAATCTACACCCCAGGGTACTCAAGGAGCTGGTGAGCATCATAGCCCAGCCTCTGGCACAGATCATAGAATCATAGAAGTAGGGTCAGAAGGGACCTTGTAGAACTTCAAGTCCGATCCCCTGCCTGGGCAGGAGAAAAACTGGGCTCAGATGACTCCATCCAGGTAGGCATCAAGCCTCTTCTTAAAGACCCCCAGGGTAGGAGTCAGGACCACTTCCCTTGGATCTTTGAGAACTCCTGGTGCTCTGGTGTAGTGCCCAAAGACTGGAAGAAGGCCAATGTGGTGCTTATCTTCAAGAAAGGAAGAATAGTGGATCTGGCAAAATATAGCTCCATCAGCCTGACTTCTATCCCTGGGAAGATCTTAAAAAACTTTATTAAAGAGGCCATCTTTA